GCCCATGGTCTCCATTCAGCCATTCAGTTCTCCAAGCTTTAAGTCTTTCACTCTATCGAGGTTTACATATCAAGACAGAGCAGTTGTTTATTAGATATTGTTCCACAATAATGGGAAGACCACCAGGTGCCTTTATGTCAGCTACGAAATAAGACAACACGGACAGAACAATGTATTCCCTCTCTAAGCACCCGGCAGAGAGGTTTCTGATTTGAAATGGCATTATGAAAGAAAGTGTAGCCATTCTTAGAGGCATTTCTTCAAAATCCTGAGTTAAGAACAACAAGAAAAACTCCACTACGATTGTCTTATCAACCTGCAAGCAGGATGCTTGCTACATCTATTGCACAACGTACTGTAACAGAGTGCATGTTAATGTTAAAAAAAAATAAAATGATTGCATTTTAAATCCTAAGATCACAATATCCTTTTTCTCTAAAGATTTATGTAAGGATGTTTTTTTTTCTTCAACTGAAAAGTGACTTTCTATCATTTTAGACATATTCTTTGCTCTTTAATCCCCTTAGATGGTTGACTTATTTTGAATATAACCATATTAAGGTGTGTTATTTGAATTCTGTGGATATGGATTTATGAAAATACCTCTGACTCACTGCAAAATGCCCTTATGGAATATGCAGGTCTAATTTCAAGATTTCTAGTGCATTCCCGAACCCACTAGGTGAAATTTAAGACCAAACCATGAGCTTTACATGGGACTGCAGCCAACATTAGTCTTTCACATGTTCTCCATTGAAAACATAGAAAAGTTGAGAAAATGCTCACTCAATACTTGGTTTTACAAGTGAAATGACAATGCCTATGTACATAACAGGTTTCTAGCATTGGAACTTACTTATTCATTGGCTGATTTTAAGCAAACTATTTGAAAGCAGTTTTTAAAGCCAACCCAGCTGTAAACATATAGCATCCATAGCATTGTAAGCTCCCCCTGAAAGATTTGTTGAGTTTTGTTATGTTTCCATGATAAGATCTACACAAATGAGATTAGAGAAATGTTTAAAATTAAGCAAATATAGCTCAAGAACCTAAACGCGAACTTAGGTATTCAAATAATGATTTCATGAATACAAGCAAAAAAAAAAAAGCTGCACAAACCACCCAAACTGACATATAACTCTAAGAACTAGTTCTCCAAAATTAGTGACAATGATAACCATGACCATCTAAAAGAAGATGGTAATAAGTTCTTTAACAGCTGTGGCGAAACTTTGGCTTTACATGATTCTTATTAGGCACAATGGAGGGTTTTCTAGCATAAAAGTTTAACTCCAGCCTTTGACTAGGCCACTCTAAAATCTTTTTTTTTGCCCCGAGGTTGATTTGCTGCTCTGGTCCGGATAATTGACCTGCCGTGACCCAATTAAGCTGAATCTCAAAGCTGCTAACTGATAGCCAGGCATTTTTCCTCTGAGTGTTGTCAGTGAAGTGAAATAATGGCTCCATCATTTAGGGCCAGCTGTTCAGGATTTGAAAAATCAAATGTAGCCATGTATATTTTATATATATATATTTCAGGGGGATATGCTGTGTTAGATCTAGATCTCCCAGAAAGTCTTCGTTTTATTTCTTTATTCCAATGAGTATTTTCCTCAAAGTCCTGCGAATTATTCAGACTTTTCGATAAATATGCAATTAATCTTTGTCTCCTTTTTCATAAGTGCTGCTTTGCCTTCCAACTGTCATTTTTTTTTTATCTTAGCTTTAAAACATGAACACTAAGAAAGTGAGGTCGGAAGTAGTTTACATGTTGATTGGGGTGTTTTGTGACCTCCAAGATCGTTGTACTTCTGTAGTAATTTTGGTACTGAGAAGGTTCAATACAGTTCAGTGTTTTCTCAGCTTGTGAAGAATGGCTCTCCCTGTGGTTCGCCAGAGTCCCAAAGCCTCCCAAATAGCTTTATAATCCTTTCCAGGCCAATGAATAAACAAATTTGAGACTCACCTGCTGTGTAATTTTTATAGATCAGGGTCGGATATGTCGCTTTTTGAGACCTTCTACGCCAACTTCATGTTGTCAGACAAGTACTAATTTAGCAATTTTTTAAATCTACTGGTCTTATACTAATAAAACCAGGGTGCGGCTAATAAAACTGAAATCAGCTCAATAAAAAAAGGGCATGCTTCACAGTTTTGTTCTTTTAAAACCATAAAGATTTGGGTAATTTGTTCCATATTAAGTTACATATTTTGTATGATGATCGATTTTGTTTGATGATATGAAACACTGCAAAGTGTGTTAAATGAAGAAGAAAAAGGAAGATCTCTGCAGAGGGGTTGCAAATACATTTTGACATTTCAGTAAATAGCGCCAATAAATTACCAAAAAGGAGATTAGAGAGATGTTTTGGGGATAGAAAGCAAAAGATGCAGTCAGTTTAAAGTCTTTGGAAAGCGGCTGTTCAAATGGTTGCATTTCCGGATTCTCCCGAGTGGTGCCCGACTTTACACGAGTGAATAAATCGAATGTGATTGGTCGATTATCAAGAGGGCGGGAAGGTTGTGGCGGAAGGTTTGCAAGCAAGTTGGTTGTGGCCAATAGGGTTGTCAAAAGTATCGATACTCAAAAAAGTATCGATACTGAAACGTTGTATCCGGATACAATACTCATTTTAAAAAGTATCGATACAGCCATCTAAAGTGCAGAATAGTGGAAAATGCATTTTCTAAACACTGTGTGATTGAATAATTCTGTGCATTTTTCAGTTTCAGACTTTTTTTTGTAACAGGTGCAGCTGCTGAGAATTATTTTTGTTTAACTGCTTTGGCCAGTGTCATTGTTATGTCTGCAAAACATAGCCAAGGAAGGAACACTTAATTTTAATTTTAAGTTTTTTATCAAGCTTGCTTAATATTGTGCACAGCATACAACCTCAAAATATTATTCTTATTGTTTTTTTTATTTATTTCTTGTATTTTTTTTAGTAATGAAAATATTTCTGTTGAATTTTAAAATCTTTGTTTTTATTCTTGTGGTATCGAAAAGGGTATCGAGTATCGAATATTTTACTTAGTATCGGTATCGAGTTGAAAAGTTTAGTATCGTGACAACCCTAGTGGCCAATGTCTCGGAAGCATCTTGCTAACCAGTTAGCAACTGACTGCTGGTAGGTTCCCAATGGGAAATTACATTGGGACCAGGTAGCACTAAATTGGGGACTTAGCACCGACACTGTCAAGGAAAGCTATGGACAGCGGAAACATGCAAGAGGAGGAGAGTTTTGAGTCAGAGGTTGAGGATTAGTCTTTTCCGTCAAACATTTTTTATTCAGAGGAAGGAAGCGGGGACGATGTTGTTGTGGAAGACGACGCCAGGCCGGCAGAAGCTCTGTTTGGTGTAGAAGGCTTAAAGCCGTACATGTTAGAGCCCTTGCCTCACAACGCTGCCAGTTCTGTTAGCTCTACGCCTGCCGAAGACACAGACGTCCATCCCTGTGAACACTGGGACGGAACTCAATGGTAAAGTAAATGTTTCTTATTTATTATTTCAACCGTTGCGTATATTAGCTGCGAGATATGAATCAAGATGCTATGACTGAATAAATTTGACCGACAGATGATCATTGATATATGATTGGCCGAATTTAGGTGTACAAGCTGAAGTATAACTAACTGGTCTTCATAAGATTACGAAAAAAAACCACAGATTCTAAAGCTACAGTGTGTAATTTTTAGCGACATCTAACGTCCACACTGCAGACCGCAGCAACATGAACATCTCCCCCCCACCGCTTCTCCCCCCCAACAGTACGGCGAGCGTTACGGAACAAAAAGTCTTCCACGACGTCCGCATCACCTACCTTCTCAAGTGATGAGGTTCGTTTACATAGATAATTTTACAGATAGTATTCTCAGGCATAATACTGCCATCTATTGTTCAGTACCGTGTCAGTTCATCTCTCTCAACTTGCCGTAGTTACTTTCGAGCGTAATGGGCGATCTCGCAATTGCTAGTTTGTTGGCTCTGCGCTGCCGTAGCAGCGCAAAGATGTCTGCCTCCATCAATTATTACACACTGTAGCTTTAAGACAGGATTTTTTTTTTTTTTTTTATAGAAATTTTCAAACTTTTGGGACAATGTGGTCTGATAAAGAGTACATTCATATACACGTTTAAGCCAGAATGGTTTGACATTTAAATATGACTTCACTACAACTTTAAATTCACACATGAGATGGTCACCTACCATAAATACTGTCTTCTGAGTACAAAGCAAAAACTTTATTGTGTAACAAATTACAGAAGAAGTCATTTGGATTGGCAAATCTCCCTGGCAAGTTAGAACATCTTTCTTTTGTTTCCTAATTAGCTATTCTTCCAGATAAAAAAAAACACCCACATAACTTTCAAAAGTTCATCAAAATAAAATAAAACTTGTGCAAAATTTGAGTTGAGTGCATGGCAGCCTAACCTGTGGATGATCAGCCTCTGTGAGCGACCAGGTGGGTTTAAACAGGTGAGAAGTTGATGCATTTAACTGATGCTTCACAAAACTAACAGACAAGACATGACAAGTGACAGGATGTCAAACTGACAGGGAAATAAAAGACGTCACAGCTCAGTTGTTATTTCCTTCTTTTTTTGTTTTTTTGTTTTCCTTTTGCTCATATTACATGATACAGAAATAAAAGCTGTTAAAGACGAGGTGTGAGACTGCACCACCCCCGCTAAAGTCAAGTGTTATTAAGTAAAGCACCTAAATAAGAAGAAACAAGGCCGACTAGTGAGAGTTCACCCGCTTCTTTCACTTCATTTTTAAAGAATAACTGCTGCAGAAACCGAGGAGGTGAGAGAGAGGAAAGAACGGAGCGGGTGGGGGAATGAGGGGGAGAGAGGTGAGGGAGGGGAAAGGAAAGGGAAGGAATCAAGGAGTCCGACCTTTCCCTTTCCACCGCCGAGAAGCCGCACCGCGGCAGCTTCACCTCCTCCAACCCACTCCCCGTGTTCCTGCCCGTTCCACGAGCCCAGCGCATACTTACAATCCTGGCATTAATCAGGTCCGGAGGGCGGTATCCGCTGCGCCTTCGGAGACACATCCGTGCGGGTTTTTGTCTTCCTCAGCCGCCCCGCACCTCTAGGTTTGGTGCGCTTAATTTATTGATTAATTAAATTTTTATTTATTTTTTTTTAAATCGCCTGCCTCGGTCGCTGAATCGGAAGAAGGAGACCTCCTCCTCCTCCTCCCCCTTCTGCTGCTCTCCTCCTGCTCGGGTTTTTCCCAGAGAGAGAGTGTGATAGAGAGACACCCACGGAGAACGTGCGTGTGTGTGAGAGAGGGAGCGAGCTCACCGCCCTGGTGGACACGCGCGGCAGAGCGCATGCGCTGACCCACGTCCTACCAGGCAGGGGACCCGGGGATTTCTTTTAAACTTTAAAATCTAACTTTTTCCTAAGGTGTGGCGCATGACCTACATAAATCGTATTTAGTACAACTTTCAATAACAAAATCTAAATTTCAAGGGGACACCTGCACCAATTATTTGATTGCAAATAGTTCCAAAGTACTTCCTAAATGTGCAGCAGATTTATCAGAATCTCCTTATGGAAAGACAAAGAAATGAGATAATAAATCTACCACATTAACAGGAATTGATCTAAGTTATTTTCTCATTTCTTCATGCAATTGTTACAGTGCATTTGCTGTGCAATTTCAAACCGCAGTTACTTCATACAGTTGTGTTATAGGCGTTCTATGAAGATAGTCCCTCCAAAAACACTGTCTTCTTCTGGCTTCCTCACCATGTCACAGCCACCTCTGTGTTCTACAGTTGGCTGCAGAGAGCTGGTACAATGGCATAAATATCAGTAAGCAGAGAGTGCAGTTGCTTAGGGGCCCCTGACCTCTTAGGGGCCCCCGTCGCTGACACCTGGTTGACCCCCTATGCTATTGTGGACTAGGATGTCACTTTGCACATGTAATGTTGCGAAAAATTCCTTTTATACGCACCTGATACTGATGAGACTGACCAGACCTTATTTATACCCCAACAGATTTCAACATGACGGTGAGCCGTTTAAACACGACACCAATAGAAAACCAGACAGTGGTACTTTTAATTGCTATGTTAATAACTGTGTATAGTTCATTAGACGGTTGGTGAAAAGTACACTCATAATATGTTTCAAACCGCAATAAAGATCTTAAAAGAAAGATATATTTGAGTATTTTATCTTTTGCACTTTGGCGTGGAGTTATGGGTTATCCAGAGTGTCGATTAAAACCATAATCGTTACGTACAATGTGTTACCGATGATGGATACCAAAACGAGGTACTTAAGCGGATTCCAGGAAAGAAAAAGGAAAGAAGATCTGCTTTAAGAACGGAAAAAACTTCCCAAAATAAACCTGTTCTTTCAAAGAACCAAAAAGGGAGAGGTGGACGTTGCTGCTTCTACAGTAAGATGTATGGAGAGAACGTGGGTGAGGATAGGAGCTGTGAAGCTCAAGCTAGCTCGATGGCTTGTGCTAATATACTAAGGTATATCCATGCCTAGTGAAGATGAGGAATGGTGAAGTGTGTAGGTATGCGGCACGTTTCGGGTCGGTTGTCTATGGTGGGGTGCACTGGGAGGGATGGGGTGTTGTACTTCATATGGGGCCCACCCAGATAATGTTGCTCACGGGCCTATTGTTGTGTCGTTACGCCATTGAGCTGGTAGCAGGTAATTTATGCTGCCTTAAGAGATAAAATTCCAAAGTTAACATACGGTAATAGCACAAAAGGCAATAAACCAATGGGATATAAGATTGCTGTTTTTGGTTGTTTTCTTGTTTTCCTGATTATTTGACTTATTAATTTTTGTAGAGTAGCATTAGTTTTGGTCCAAAGCCCCTGATAAGATAATTTGTTCATGTGAAAGCTAAAAGATTAGTAGGCATTGACAATACCAATAGCTTCATTAAAATGTCATTTTAGAGAACATAAAAATGACTAAACTACTCATAGGCCAGATGAGTCTTAGATGTCTTAGATTTTATCTAATTAAAATGCATTCAAATGTAGCAATTCTTATTTTGATCTCCATATCCCTATTTGGACAAATATTTTTAAAGAAGGGCAATTACCAATGCAGAATACATGGGAGGCTGTTTAATAGTAAATTAGTGAGGTTGGAATTGATATCATTATTTCTGCTAAATTGTCATCTCTCTTGTTCTCCTGGATGTAAGAAATGTGAAATTTGCAACAGGCTGAATGCAAGATGCTTAAAGCAGCTTACAGGAATGCAGTTCAAGATTTTTGTTTTTATTTAAAATTTACTGTAATCAAAACAACTTTGACTTTAGAAACCCTTTTATTTCTCATACCCAGGATGTGATCCAGGTATAAACAAGTGGATAAACAGAGTAAAACATTAGGAGGAAAAATACTAACACTGTGCAAGAAATAAGTAATTACTTTCATTTGTTTTTCACAGTGTAAAAACTTTAAAAAAAAAAAAAAGATAATGACATGAGATATGAGATATGACATCCTCTATATATACATGTTTACTAAATGTAGTTCTCCTGAATGATAACCCTGTCCTGCTGACTTACTATGTGGTATTTTGTATTTTACGATTCATTTCTTCTTAGTTTGTTAGTAGTTGCGTGAACATCTACAAGAACATTGGAGGAACGATACTGCAGGTGTGTACAGGGGAGGAATTAGGATGTGAACGGCTAAGTCAGTTAGCACCTCCTTGTCGTGTTTTGAAATGAAACAAGAAAAATCCACGTTCCAGTGTGAATTCACTCCCCCCCAAAAAAAATAATTTCAGGAGGGAAAAAAAGACTAAAATAGCCCTCATACTACAGTATTTACTCTGGTGTTCACCAAAACAGGAGCTGCTGAGGTATTCAGATGTCGCTGTGGAGTTTGCATGGAGGGATGCATGAGAAAACGTCCTTATTAACACTGACACTAGCAATAGAAATGCTATTCTTAGTATTTGCAGTTTAGATAGATAGATAGATAGATAGATAGATAGATAGATAGATAGATAGATAGATAGATAGATAGATAGATAGATAGATAGATAGATAGATACGTAGTCCAATGATAAGATTTTAGTCTTTTACTTTTTTATGTATTTAATTGTATTACCTCTTACCTTGATGCTGTGTCCCTGTCTGTGTTTGGTAGGAATATTAATTTTATTTCTCCTTGATGTTCTCATAGGTGGTTGTGGGAAGGATTAACTAGAGCTTAAAGTCGTTGTAGATTGGCTCATTTATTTTCTGTCGGTTGGCTTTCTGCCAGGCCGAGCGGCCACTTTACTCTAAGGTATTGCAGGACGGTCTGCCTCTGTTAAAGGAGCTGCCTCAGTTTCCACCATCTAATAGTTCCACGGTACTGTCGGTGGATACCACACATCTTTTTATGTCAGCTCTTGGCGCCCAGCGCTGGAATTCTATTTAGGCTGAAAAAAGACACACATTATCTGTCTTGATCTTTTGCATTTGTATTTGATATGTCTAATAGTGCCACAGCTTCATTATGTCCTTTCCCTTCCTGCCTTCTGTTTTCTCACTGAGGTTATTTAGAGACTTCATATGAGACTAATCTAATCCTCATATTCACCTCTGGATTTGCAACATTACAACAGCTTTTGTTTCCTAAAAAGGTGTTTAGCTGTAAGAGGATAAAGTGGCACATCCCTATAAAGTACAATGATATAATTAGAATAATTCAAGCATGCGGTTTGGCTCACTTCTGTCTCTCTGGAGCAGAAAGGTACACTCTTGGCTTGGGAGTGTTAAGAGTTGTCACTATTTAATGTTGCCACCAATGAGATGTTGTTTTTAGGATAATATGTCAAATAACATTAAATATTGACATATAAATTTGTTTTTATTTATTTTTTTGTCTTCTGTTCAATTTCATTAGATTGATTGAAAGTTATCAGGACGGAAACATAAAACAGTAGGGGGCACCACATACCATGGAGAGACATAACAACAAAGTCAAGCAAATAATTGTACACTAATAAAAACTTATTAAAATTATCAATTTATCACGAAATAAAATGTTTGATTTTCTTAATCTTCACAGCTGATATCACATAAGCTTATAAAGTCTTGTTCACATAGAGATGTGTTGTCATGTTAGTCAACATTCAAATTCAAGTCAGTGTCTTTATATGTGCCTTAGATAACTTTGTTTACTAAAACAGACACGCATCAGGTTTCTGAGAGGAAAGTGATCAGAGTAACTTCTGGTGCTCTGCCTTCTTCTGCTTCCAGCTTCAGATTGAACAGACCCAAAATAAGGCTATATATAAAACATTATGTTTGCAAATGACTTGAACCTTTTATCTCATATCGCCTCACTGACTGATCGGCCTGGACTTTTTCATTTCAGACACAGACTCTTATCAGAGGACGACCTTTGATCTGCGGTATAAGCCTGTGGCATGAGCCTCCTCTGACACAGGTTTGGTATCAGCTATCAAGTGTTTTTTTCCCCCTAAAAATAACCTTTACCTTGAATATAGATACAATAAAAATCCTTAGTCTTACATAATCTCAATGAGTGCAACAGTGCAGATGGGTTTTTGTGAAAAAACAATAATCTATAACATGATAATTTAGCAATTATATAATATTTAGCAAATTATAATTATAACAATATTTCGATTCATTTCATTTTCATGTAATAAAACCTGCTGAACAGATCATACCAATTGTCAAATGCCCTCTAAAATTCTTTTAGTCGGCACAGGGGGGCACTAAAGCTTCATGTACTCACTCTGCACTGAGGTCTGTGCAAATTGTTTTTGCAGCAGATATTCACCAGCAGATACAATTAGGGTTTATTTGCATTCTTTGAACCTAAGTTCTGATTTACTGTCAAAAACATCACATCCAGGTGTAGTTTGCTTGATGTTCACAATTTAATCCCCCCGTTGCACAAGAAAATAGTCTAAGCAGACCTATGCTTTGTCTCAAGATAATTGGGATTCAGTTCTCCTCTGCTGGAATTGCCACCTGACTGCAGCCTGGACAGGGAGATTAGTTCCGGCGGGTAATCAGGACATAAAATCAGATGAGAGTAGTCGATCTTCACAGCTATGCTTAATTTCTGTCGTACACACAAATTGAATGAACTGATTTATCAAGAGCAGTGACAGAACAGTTTTTGTGAAAACATTTGCAGATTTGTGTAAAAAAGAAATAAAATAGATATTAAGGGGACCAAATTGAAAACATTGCATG